TATACATAATAAAAACGATTGTACTTTCATATTTTTTGTTAATAGAATTAATACCTATACTTTCATCTAAAACCACATAAGGGTTTTTTTAATTGTTTTTGAATCACATATGGGTAAAGTGCACTAACTTCAAATCACAAGAAAGTAAAATAAATTTTATCCTTATTTTTATCGAAAGTGAATCTCATCACGTTAATATATTGATAATTTTTATTTTTATTTCTTTTGCGATTTAATTATATGATGCTAGGTTCTTGAAATTATGAAATATCTTAAGAATGAGTGAATGGAACTTTTTTTTTTTTTTTTTTTTTTTTTTTTTTTTTTTTTTTTTTTTTTTTTTTTTGAGAAAGAAGAATGGAACTTTTGAAATTTAAAAATGTGGCACATTGACAAATTATGTTTTCCAAAGGCCATCATGTTAGTTCTATGATTATGCTCCAGTGAGAGTCCCTTTGAGTATTATGAATATTTTCCTCTTTTTGCTCATCTCGAAGGGACAGATGAGAATGAACATCTCTCTCATTTTGCTTTTGCGCTTTAGTCCCTCTTACATGATGTTTTTTGCAGCTTCAACAGAAGTATCTATGATCATTTGGTCTATTCATCTCAGTAGGGAGAGTTTTGCGCAGGTGCCAACTAATTCATGAACATGGGAAAAAGCTCTATGGTGTCCATTGCTCTTTGTGAGCATATGCGTATGTACCTTATTATAATTAGATAATTTTATCATAAAATTTTGTAATATTTATAATAAAATAACGTAATTATCTCAAAAAATTAACATATAAAAATTATAAAACAAATTCATAAACTTATACATAAATCAAAAAATTTTAACATTTTATTACGTTATTTATAAGAAGAGTTTATATATTTTATGATAATATTATAAAATTTTGTATACGTTACAAAAACAAAAAACAAACAACAATGTGTGATAGTGTGCATGGTTTCCCATGAACATCTCAGCCTCATTTGATCCGCAAACATCAAAAAATTGATCAGGGCGGGTCATATTACTAACTCCACACCCATTTCGACCAATCTAGGAAAACATTGTGAATAATAATATAGACTTATGTGTGGGTTTGGTTTGCTCTTTTAGGATTTACCAATTTCAAATAATTAATAAAGTTTTTTATTTTTTCTTTTTTCAAATTTTTTTGATCTTATTTAATCTAAATTTTTTTTAAATATTCCTATTATATTTTTTTTTAATTTTTAGATATACCATAATTTATAAATATCACTTAAAAAGTATAAAATTTGTGAAAATTTTTAGAAAATTCACTAAATACCAAAAGTTAAAATAAAAAATACGAGAATTCAATATTTTTTTGTATTCTTGTATATTTATTGATTTTTAAAATATTTTTTTTATAAATAATTTTTTATAGATATATCTAAGTAAGATGCATCTAAAAAAGTAAAAAAATGTTTAAAATTTTAAAATATTCAATAAAAAAAAAAAAATACAAAAAATAAAAAATTTAATTTTCAAAAAATTAAATCCAAACCTACTTATTAGAATTCTATTTTGGTTATTGTATGACCAGTTTGTCCGCTTATGTCATATGTATTTTTGAAGTATCAAAGCTGCAGATTCAGTTCTCTGTGTTTTTTTTTTTAATTTGAGTGAGTAAAGTAGGACCACAATGACTATACAGCTTTAAGGCATGTTTCAACAATTTATTTCATTTTGCGTGGGTTTTGTTTAGAAATATACGTATTTCAAACTATATATTTATAAAATTGTGCAAAATTTTGAATCTACATTCTATATTTAAAGTTTGGAGTGTAAGTTATATTCAAAATAAATTTAATTTTTATATTTTAAATTATGAATAGGAGTAATTTTTGGAGTCAATTTCAAATACCAGTTGATACAATGTGTATCAATTAAGATCAAGAGTAATAATAAAAATAAAATAAATCAAACCTAAAACAATGAAATTTACATTTCATCCCAAAAGCCTTGTGCAGATTTATTTGAAGCTTTTTTTCTTAACAAATTATAATCGTAGTATGTATAATTTACTACTTTTTTCATTTTAATCTTTGTAAATTTTGATTACACCAATTTTATTCTTGAATTTCTTTAAATTATATTAATTTAGTCTAATTGATAATACTCTTTTAGAAATTGGACTGAAGAGACAATGATTCATTCATACATCTAATTTAAAATGGTCTACTACTTTTGAAATAAATTATTTTGGCCTTTATTTATGTCCAATTTTCAATTAAACTAAATTGACATAATATAAAAAATTTAATGCCATGAAAACTACAAAAATTAAATTAACACAAAGTCTAAAATACAAAAAGCATGGGTACAATTTGCTTTTTAGTTACAATAGGAAGAAGGGAGTTTTTTTTTTTTTTTTTTTGTTATAGGAAAATCTTCCCACTCTCCCGCAGATCTAAGGCCGCTTGAAGAGATCACCAGGGTGTCCTGTTGTCCGTTCCGAGTAAAGAGATCACCAGGGTATCCTGTTGTCCGTTCCGAGTAAGAGACTATAACCTGGAAGCTTGTCCCGACCTCCCAAGGCAAGCTCCGCTTAAGTCAGGACTCGCACATCGGGGGAGAATTAAACCAACACCAAGTAGCTGATAAGACATCCTTGAGGTCAACCTCCTAACCAACTGTGCTACGCCCAGGAGATTGGCCCAGAGGGGAGTTGAACCCAGGACCTAGGGGCTTGAACCCCAGGCCCTTACCAAGTTGCCACTCACCCCGGGGTTAGGAAGAAGGGAGTTAACAAGAAAGGAAGCTGCATAGTACAATAATATGACTCGTACAAAGACATTAGATTCCTTGAAACGTGGATTGTTTCGATACGAGAATCTGATATATCATATATTTTAAAATGTGATATGATAAGAGTAGACATATATATAGTATATTTAAGAATTTAAGATATTTATAGAATAATTCTTAATAAAATTATTAGACATCTAATAAAATGTAATATTTTCTATGAGTATTATGATCTATTTTTTAATATTTTTGTCTTATCAAAACTTAACTCACTTTAGATTTTAATTCATTATATTTGATTTTTTTTTCCTCCTAAGGTAACATTTAAGAACATATTTGAAAAATCTAAAAATCTCCTAAATATTGATTTGTGATTATGTATCAATTTTAACGAGTAAATAGCAATCTCAATCAAATAATTAAAGACAAATCAACACAACGATTTAATGTGGAAAAATCACAATTGAAGTGCCTCCAATTGTAATAAAAAAAACTACAGGCAAAAGCTACAAAACAATCTACTAAGAAGACATAAAGGAATTACACAAGTGTACTATCAATTACCTAGCGAATCCACGCTCGAATCGAACTGACCCCTATGTGCCTCTTCCAGCCCCGTCTTCACCTCGAAATTGTCTTGCTTAACGTTGAATCCACAACGCTGATGTCGAATCACGATGATAAGCCACTCTGGAATCCACCAAAACTTCCAGCCCGAATTCCACAAAATTCACCGAAAAACAACAGTCTTTTGTATTGAACGAAACAAATAACCTTTTGATGTATACTTTTCAAACCAGATTTAAACTCAAAGAAACTAACAAAGAAGCTCCAAATATAAACCCCTAATATTCAAGAAGAAGATCTAAAAGTTGTAATTCTAAAATCTGATAAAACCACATATTTATAGAAAAACAGAACAGCGAAGGATCTCTCGCTCGAGCGAGGAGACTAAAATGCGTGTTTTTCCAAGAGTCATTGTTCGAGGCACCAAAGTTTAGCTCGAGCGAGAAAAGCATCTTCTCAGCATTTTTACAGTCAGTGCAAACTTCTGAGAAGTGGCAAAGTTTAGCTCGAGCCACCAAAGTTTAGCTTGATCCCTGACATAATCAGCAAAATGACAAACATGAAAGAATTAACTTCTGAAACTTCTCTACAAGGCACAATTTGGATTGCACAATTTGTGTTGGATTCGCATCTAAATACTCATAGCTTCACTAAAATAAAAGAGTGAATAAAAGTATAACTGAAAGGAGTTTTGTCAAACGAGATTGTCAAAAATAAAAACCTAACAATATTAAAAAAAACTTTTGAGAGTATAGATCATTAAATTTACTATTTTAGAACGAAAGTGTACTATGTTTTAAAATATACTTACCAATATATAATTCATTAGGGTATCAACGTTTTCTGGTAACGTATAGAATATCTCATCTCACATAAGCTGGTTCAAACATCCCATCATCAAAAAAAAAAAAAAAAATTAAAAAAATACTTCAAAAAAAAAAAGCAAAAAAAGACAAAACAAAGGGAAAAAAAAATAATTTAATGCCAATTTAGAGCTACATTTTTAGAGCTCTAAAGCAATTTCCTTTTATTGATAGGTTTGAATACGTGGATTTTAATATGTGGTCCTACATAAATGGACAAAGAAACTGTCTGTGCTGTGCGTGGCCTTGATATGTGAATGTCGTCCACTACTAAATCCGTAAGAGTGTGACAATTTATTATATACAGCCAGTTACGGGGTTGAAATATTTTACCAGTCAAAAATTAATAAAATGTTATATTATTCTAATTATTAGTCATATTCTCTTATTGAATAAATTTATAAATAAAAAAAAAAGCCCATTTCATATATATGGTAAAATTTAAAGTCTCTGTTTGGTACAGTTTAATTTCAGTTTATTTTAACTTTTAGCTTAATTTAAGCTATTTTGATTTGTTTGATTTAGCTTAACAATATAATTTATAACTTTTTGTAAGTCAAAAATCAACTTATTCTTTGAGTGGGGTAGGAGAAGCTTAATTTATAAATCAGAAATCAATTTATATTAATAGTTATAAGGTATAAGCGGTTAAGGTATAAGTCATAAACACTTTTTCACAATTCTACCAAGCAGGACTTTTAAGTCATTCATTTTCATAGAGTCCGTTTGGAAATTAGTTTAGTCAAAAAACATTAAAAAAATAAAATAAAATAGAGAAGAGAGAAGATTAGCTTTGGGGGGTGGGGATGAAAGTCACGCTTTCCCAGTACACGCGTGAACTCTCTTTGCTTTCCAATATCAAAACCCAACGTTCTAAAATGAACCCTCCCTTCATAAGTACAAAAACCCACATACATACCCAAGTGAAAGAAGCTCGCTCTCTCTCTCTCTCTCTCTCTAAATTTGTTGTAGTGAGCTCTTGTTACCTTCACATACTTGAACTATGTCCGTAAGTCTCTTTCTCTCTCCTCTTTCTCTCTCTATCTCTCAATACAGTTATGATTACGTATATATATGTGTGTGGTGTCTGAAAATGGTGTTTTGCAGATGGTGGAGGTGAGAGTTCCAAACCTGGATTGCGAGGGATGTGCTGCTAAACTTAGAAAATCTATTTCTAAGCTCAAAGGTATATTTTTTGATATACTATTGAGAATATTAACTAAATAATAAAATTATTATTCTCTTGATAAGTTGACGATCATCAATTTAATATATCAAAATAGAATTTTCGTACGTTAACATTGTTGGTTCTAACACTAGATAGATTTTTAAAAAGAAATATAATGTCCAACATTGGGTTTGTAACTAATTTATTCATCCAAAACCTCATCCAATTTGAATTACATTGGGTGTGCTTTTATAAGTAATGGAGTGGGACGAGGCAAATTGTTGTAGTTGCCTTGGCGAAAATGCTTTGAAAGAAATTTTTTTTTTTTTTTTGGTTATTTATATAGAGATCCCCTAAATTATTATGAAGTATTATTTTAACTCCCTAAATTATAAAAGTATACAATTAGACCCCTAAATTATTATGAAGTATCATTTTGACTCCCTAAATTATAAAAATGTACAAATAGACCCCCTAAACTATTAAGAAGTATCACTTTGCCCTCTATACAAATGGATTCCCTAACCTATTGGTGTGTTTCACTTTGACCCCTTCTGTTAAGGGTCCAATTGATACATTTTTATAATTTAAGGAGCCTATTTATACGTTTGTTATAATTTAGGGGACAAAATGATATTTTTCAATAATTTAAGGGGTTCATTTGTACACTTTTATATTTTAGGAGTCAAAGTGATACTTTTCAATAGTTTAGGAGGTCTTTGTGTAAATAATCCTTTCTTTTTTTTTGGCTTTTTATTATTATTTATTTATTTATTGTTGTTGTTTACCAAAAATAAATAAAGGGTTGTTGTATCATATGATACTAAATAAAATTTAATGATAATTTTTTCACTTCTAATGTGAATACACCCCGTTTGGGAACAGGCTAATTTAGTAACTTTTTGGCTATTTGGCTAAAATATGAACTAAAAAAAACTAGTATATTTGGGATGACTTTTTGGTTTTTTACGAAAAAATGTGCAAAAAGTAGAGAGAAAAGAGAATCTTTGACTTTTTTGTATGAGTTGTTGCCTTTTTGACTAATTTAATAACTTTTTGACTTTTTGACTAAAAAGAAGAGTTTCCAAACAAGGCCTAAATGTCATGTATAAACTTCATCAATTCTACTCATACAGAACATATAACATTTGTTCTTTATTTGAAGTGATTTGGTTTCAGGATTTTGAATTTGCTTTTCAAAAAATTAAATTTTTTATTTTTTCATTTTTTTTATTAAATTTTTTTAATATTTTAAGTAAATTTTTTAATTTTTAGATACAGTTGACATAAATACACCTAAAAAGTATAATATTTGTATAAAAAAATCTTTAAAATAAATCATTAAATGCCAAAAATACAATATATATATATATATATATATTCAATACATTTTTATATTCTTGTGTATTTATTAATTTTTTTTACAAATATTTTAATTTTTAAATACATTTAGGTTAACTACATTTAAAAAGTAAAAAAAAAATTACTTAAAATATTTTTAAAAATTCACTAAAAATAAAAATATTTTTTTTTAAAAAAAAACATGAAAACAAAAAAACTCAATTTCATAAAATTTGAGTTCAAAAATTGGGCGTTTTAGTAATTTCCAATTTCTTTTTTGTTTTCGTCTATATCAAAAAGAAAATATGGGGAGCCACTTGGAATATTTTTTTTAAAAAAAAACATGAAAACAAAAAAACTCAATTTCATAAAATTTGAGTTCAAAAATTGGGCGTTTTAGTAATTTCCAATTTCTTTTTTGTTTTCGTCTATATCAAAAAGAAAATATGGGGAGCCACTTGGGCGTTTTAGTAATTTAACTCCGTGATAGTTATGGGACCGGTTAGTTTTGACTTGGCTTGGATCATAGAACCGGACTTATTGTTGTAGGCTGATGACCCGACCCAGCCTTGAATTGGCATGGGCCGCATAGCGAAATGACCATTTGAATAAATAAAAATAGTAATAACTGCCTAATGACAATGTGGGGTGATGCTGATTACACCCACATAATTCCTCTTATTCCCACATTTGTGAGACACAATTCTCAATACGTGTGTAGAGGAATTTTGTGGTTGCATTTAATGGCATCCGAAATGTTGGGATATTTCTTTTTACGCCCGCTTATTTGAGGGCATAATTTTGAATGAAAATGACAAAGAGGTGGGTGTAATGAAATATTTGGTGTGTGTAAATAGAAGCACCCCACCCCCAAATGTTGGTGCAAGTTCCATGTTTGTCCCCTATTGTGTTATAGGACAGAAGGAAAAATACTATTCACCGTCTAATGAGTTTTAGTTAAGATCAGTATATGTGCAAAAAGTATACTGAAACTCACAAAAAATATATGAAAATTTGTAAAATATATATTAAAATTAGGATAAATTATAAATACACTCCCTGAGATTTGATTAAAATACAAATCGCTCCATGTGGTTTTAGAAATTACATTCCATCCTGAGCTTTTTAATTTCATAACAAATCACTCATTTTATTAATAAATCATCAAGTCAATTAACAGTTTTTAATGATGTTATAAATATGTTTCAATTAATAATTTAAGTAATTTTATTATTGTATAAGAAAGTAATTATGAATTTATTTTTTTTAGTTAATTCTGTTAAATAAAAAATTTTAACAAGGGGTATTTATAATTTTTCAAGCTATAAGGGACAATATATACTTTAAGTAAATCTCAAGAGATGTATTTGTAATTTACCCTTAAAATTAAAAAACTTTGACATTTATTAAACTTTAACTAACGTATACTTTGCAATTGCATTTGCACATGAACAAGGGGATGGAATAAAAAAATTTAATTTTTCTTCTCTAAAGATTGGATTTTTCATCTCTTTCATTTTATTTAATTTTTTGTGGGGTGTTTATTTTTAATATTCATTCGATTAATACTATATATGATATTTTTTAGGAGTTGAAGTGATAGAAATAGACATGGAGACACAAAAGATAACGGTGAGAGGCTACGCCATAAAGGAAAAGAAGGTGCTCAAATCGATCAAGCGTGCAGGCAAAGCAGCCGAGCCATGGCCATACCCAGGAGGCTACTCTCATTTCACTTCATTTTACAAGTACCCTTCTCACATTGTCAACCACTACTACTATGACACATTCAAAAATGTCTCTCCAGCCAATATCCATAGCTTCTTCCACACTCCTGCAGTTTACTCGGTTGCAGTTGCATCGGATGAAGTAGTTGCTTCGCTTTTTAGCGATGAAAATCCTCATGCGTGTACTATCATGTAATCTTGCCTTTATATATATATATATATATAACCCTTATCTTGTGATGTATGTTTAGGTCATGTAATTTAGTTGTTTGTTAATTACATTTTGTATGAGTTTTTTTGACATTTTTCCCATCCTTGAGTTAATTTACAAGAAGCAAAGTTTGAGTTTTCAAGAGGATTCTTATTTTATTTTTAAAGAGTCTACTTTCATGGCTCGAATACAAGCTTTTATTGTAATAAAGAATCCAAAATATAGTAACTTTAGCCACAAGGCCAACAACCTCATGCTCATGGCTAACTCTGGTTGAGGGAAGGAGTGTGGGGGGGAGGGTGTTTACAAAAGTGGAAGGAAAAAAAAAACATGAGAGAGAAAGGAGAAAGGTAGAGAGAGAAGAGGGGCAAAATTGTCTTTAAAATTAAAGATTTTATAATTTTGTAATGGGTTCATATTAAAAATAAATAAATGATTTATTGTCAAATTATATTTGTTGTTCATTGTTTTGAATAAAATTAAGTAGTTACGAGTGTTAGATCAATTTAATTTTTTACATAAATCTATACATGGAGATTAAAAAAATAAAACGTGCGAATCCAATAAATTGAATTTGACCACATAGAGAGAAACCAGTCCCTTTCAACAAATGTGAAATGTGATACCTCTGTCGGAAAGCTCCAAACAATGGATTTTGAAAAATCTAGAAATTCCCTAGATATTGATTTGTGATTATGTATCAATTTTAAACAGTATATAACAATCTCAATCAAACAATCAAGATAAATCAACACAACAATTTTAACGTGGAAAAACCACAATTGGAGCACCTCCAATTGTGATAAAAAAAACCACGGGCAACAGCCACAAAACAATCCACTAAGAAGATATAAAGGAATTACACAGGTATACTCTCAATTACTTAGCGAATCCACGCCCGAATTGAAACAACCCCTATGTGCCTCTTCCAACCCCGTCTTCACCTCAGAATTGTCTTGACGATGAGCCACTCTAGAATCCACTAAAGCTTCAAGCTCGAATTCCCCAGAATCTACTAAAAAATAACTCTCTCTTTTGTGTAGAATAAACAAACAAACCTTTAATGTATGCTTCTTAAACCATGAGTTGAATACTCAATGAAACATCAAAGAAAACTAGCAAAATAGCTCCAGATATAAACTCTAGAATCCAAGAAGAAGATCTGAAGGCGTAACCCTAGATTTGGACTAAAACACGTATTTATAGAAATCTGTCCCGTAATCTCCACTTGAGCGTCAGATTGGCCGCTCGAGCCGACCTACGCTCGAGCGCAGAAAGTTCCGCTCGAGCGGGAAAAAACAACATTCAGTATTTTTGCAGGCGAACAAACTTCTGGCACTCAGCATTCTCCGCTCGAGGGGGGAATGTCCGCTCGAGCGGACAGGCAACTTTGAATGTATTTTTACATTTTGCTTTAGGGGTGTTGCCCCTCGACCCCGCCTGGGCGCTGCCCCGGACCCGCCAAGGGGCGCTACCCCCTGGACTCCCGCGAGCTGAGCGGGCAGCTCGATCCCTGTCATAATCAGCGAAGTGGCAATCTTGAAAGAATTAACATCACAAAACTTCTCTGCAAGGCACAATTCGGGTTGGATTCGCATCTAATAAACTCATAACCTCACTGAAATAAAAGTGCGAATAAAATTACAACTCAAAAGAGTTTTGTCAAACGAGATTGCCAAGAATAAAAACCTAACAGATTTTATAAGGTCAACTTTGATGAAGTTGTGTTCAATCGACTC